GCCTCGAACGTATCCGGAAAAACGCCGATGAAATGGGGAGTGAGCTGAAACTAAGGGCCGATCCGACTGGCCCTCCCTCACATTGAAAACTTCTCACAGGGATCCACTTCACACGCGGAAGGAGGATGCACAGCTGGTGCTGAAACCAGTAACCACGGCAGGCCTGGGCCGAAACCTGTATGTCAACCAATAATCACACACGTGTAAGCGTTTGGTGATCTTATCGATGGGCATTAGTCATAAGTATATATATCTGCATGCGAGGTGGAAGCCTGTCATGAATCTTCATTGAAAGTTTGCGAGTTAAATACACATAGCTGATGGATAAATTGCTTGATATTTGTCTATCTGTCTCGGCAGTTTACACTCGGCAATCTCGGAATCCAGAGGATCCAGGATATGTTTACCAAGGCATTGCGTGATTGTCGATCACTGACGTTATGATACTTTTTCACCTTTCGTCATTATCTTTCCACGTTACGGTTGACGTGATAGATGGGTGCTGTTCGGCTTGACAGGGGATATTGCGCTTTCTTCAGTTCCTCGTTGAAGAACAGGTGTCATTTTTGTAGATGCTGTAATACATTGTGAAGCTGCAAAATAGCAAAAGTGAGCCGTGAGCCACTTTAGTTACAAGCATTCACAGGTCTTTATAAAGTGGTTATCCCCACCAAGCCCCGAACTGCGCCGATGGACGGCTTATTGTTAGCCAAGAGGAACTTGTGTAACCTCACAATCTACGCGTTCTTATATTTTTTTTGAATTAAGCAAAAATGCTGCCCAGTGGGCCGTACTTCGTAGCGGCCTACTCACCCCCCCCACCCCCCCCTGGCATTGCCCCGAACCACCCCCCCAGGTTTCTCCTCTTCCATACCTTAGCTCATTTCTCTGTACAACGATCAGGGCGCCTAACGATAATTGCGGAACCCTTGCCTCTCCAACAAATTCGGTATCACAGTACGATGAGTCTTTACTGTAGAGTAACAACTGTTCCCTGCCCAGGAAAGTAGTCTCTCTGGGGACCCACTTTCCAGTGGCTACCACTTTCGGTCCAAGAACAAGAGTCGCTGTGAGGGTGCAACTTACTGGTATACCGTTAGTTACTCTATTAGTTCCTTTTCATCAGTGATAATCGAATTTAAGCATTCCTTACGAACACTGGAACAGTGAGGGGACTTACCCTTTGGAATTCAATGTTTTGCAGTTACCGTCGATAACTCGGTAATCAATAGGGTCGGAATGAGCCCGCCTCCTGCTGCCTTGCTCTACTGTTCAATGTAAACTTGCATCAGTAGCGGATTTATGAAAGAAAACAATCACCGTGGACGGAGAGGCAGCGGGTTGAAGTCACTTTAAAGTAATTTTGAAAAGCTGGCCCCGACTGATTGGCGCCGATATTGCCTACCAATTACCGTTTAAGCACTCATCCCGAAATGGACAGGCGGAAAATATTACATAGGGAACCCTGCACTATTCGCTCGAACAGGAATTTTGGCCCCTTTCCAGGGGTGTGCATCTATTTTCGAATAATGAGTGCGTTAAAGCGGATGGAGATCAAATACGGAATGTGCGGAGAAAATACTACCTTACTGATTCATGTTTCGCTTTTTCATTTTCTGGGAGAATTCTGAATGTTGGTTCCTCATTTGGCGGATTCTCAAAATTTTTCAGATTCAGCTCAGCTCAGAAACACATGAGTGCTCACGGTCGGTATCGCTTCTGCTTACCATTACCAATATGTTTTTCAACAAGAACTGAGATCATATTAGAAGGTTTCATAAGCCTTTGTTCGCCCAGGGATGACGGGGCGTGTCAAGGCGGATAGGTTTGGCGCGGCGTGTCAAGGCGGATAGGTTTGGCGCGGCGCCACCCCGTTTTTTCTTCTTACGGACTGTATTATACCGTTCTGATCAGTATTCCACGAATTGTTTTATAGTTTCAGCAACTGCTGGAGAAGGGATAGCAGCTGGCCAAACCCATTCTTATATCACGCCCCTTCATCCCCAGCGAACAAGGCTGTGTTCTGAATTGAAATGTCTGGAGATAAGCAGTTGGATAGTAGGGTACAGCAAGAATTCTAGCGTCGGGAGATGAGATGTCTCCAATCTCAAATGCGAGCGCTACGCATCTGCGAGTCTGTAAAGTATCGAGAGCTTATGGCCAGGGCAGAGAGGGTAGAGTTCTTCAGCCGCCTGGTGGCCCTTTTGGGGCCAGGTTCCGCAAATTGCAAGCACCTGCAGCCCTCTTAACAACATTCTATTCGGTAATAGGGGGGGGGGGAAGAGAAGACCACTCGCCAGTGCCTCCATATTCCTTTCTTAAGCCAAGGGTTACGCTTTGGTGGACACCACGCGGATAAAAAACGCTGGCATGTATTCTCCCCAGCTGAGTGGGGGCCGACTTCTAAGTGTGAAGTCCCTTCGCCAAATTACGACTGCAGTGCTCTCAATGCACGGCCGACCGGCGTGGTCGGGGTCGCGAAAGGGAACAACAGTTGAGTTTGCAGACCATCGTTTCCCATTACAGGTTTCTTGGACCCTGCGCAGGAGCGCTGTGGGATAAAAAGCACTTCTTAAGCTATGAGCCATGCTTAGGCCATCGAAAACGATTGCAAGATTGATCTTATCGCATTCCCTCCCCTTCCCCCACCCCAACAACCTTGTGGAATACCTTATGGGAGGAGTATAACAATACTGCAACAATTTACGCTATTTCAAAGCAGTCATGCCCACAAAAAGCTATTGAAACGGCTCGAATAGAGCTGCTCGTGATCCAGTGCAGCGCAGGCCTGGTAATATGCTTTGTTCCGCCTTCTCGAGGATCTCACGTTACATTTCTTTCTGACCACGCATTCAACTGATTTGTAACAAATGCACTGATGTTGTGCGGAGCTGCTATGCAATAGAAATGACCCCACCTGGTCAAACATTTACCAGTCATTACTGTGTTAATGAAATTCTTCAACACGTTCCCTAAAACCTACACCCTATATATGGAGAGGGCGTGGTTGCATGTTTCATTTGAACAAGGCGTAGGATGCGTATTTGTCGGTATGTTTTCATTAGGGGCAATTGCTATGTATTATATAGTTCTACAAATACATGGCTGGAGTTTCTACAAAACAGCGTTAAGAATGAAGTGTTCGCCGTTGACAATTTTTTCATTTTTTGGGATGGGCCACGCGTTTTACGTCCATTCAGAATCGTAGTGGTCTATTGGATGCGATGTAGCCTAGACAACGACTTGAGGGGCCAGCCGATACACAACTCAGAGTTCTTGTTCTCTCAGGAAAATCTTGCTACGCACTAGCCTCGGCGGAGACGGTATAAAGACATGCCTATGCGTGCGTTGGGATGATCTGGAACCCCCGCTACGTGCGCATTGGTTAAGCGTTTCATATGCCGCGTACCCAATTACCGCCTTTGGACCGCTTTATTTTCACCACACATGAGAATTTAGTTGCCAGTTATATCTGTTGAAGACGATAGAGAGATGATCAAAAGAGCAGGACGTGGGTAGCGAGGGCAGAGGGACGCGTTGGGAGACGTATTCTGCCTGCACCCGAATAGGTTAGTCAAACCTTCTGCTCAAGAGCACTCTATGTGCTTTCTCTCCTCCTGATCTCAGGTAGTACTTCCTATAATTTTTTTGAAAGTGAGCTAGAAGAACTAACGTGCAAGCAAAGGATGCCCAATTGGTACGAAAAACCTGCCTGCTCTTCTCACATAGGCTTTCACTACAAATTCAGGTGCACGAGAATTAGAAGAAAATCACTGCAAGAGATGGTATACTTCTCAATGTCTACAAAGAAGTAGTAAGGAAAGCGTAATTGCACAAAGGACGTAGCCGCTCTGGCGTCTGTTCCTCTCTTCTGCTGCTTAATCGTTTGCAGTTTCGCTCGTTTATCTGGACTCTCCCAACAATTTTTGAAAGAATCATCGTCTGTCACTCAGAATCAGCTGCTCCAATAAGGGTCTCACAAAGGGCATTTTCGACGATTTTTCTTCTGCTTTTCCTAGCACATACATTTTTGCTTTTACCCTGCTACTTCCAACATACGATCGCTAAATGTAGTCCATTCACATCGCAATGAGCTGGGTCTGCAAGAGCCAGACACTTGCCCCTCCGATGCCTACGAGGGTTCCTGGACTCGACGTGCAGAACTGCCCTGGGCCCTTCTACAAAAATCTTTTCCAATTTCTGAAGAGCTATGTCGCTCATGTGCCTGCGCCCACTCGTCTGGCTCATTGGTATGCAGCCTTTTGGATGTACTGCAAAGCAGAACAATGTTTTACTCATTCTTATAGGCCGCCGATCTCAATTCGGTGCTCCCTGAAAAAATTCGTAAGTGAGTTCTCAACCTCTTATCAAGGCATCGTAGTGACAACTGCGGCGCACGTGATCATAAACCTTTTAATGTCAGATTTTCTTATTTTGGAGGGTGAATATCTCTACGAATCAGTTACCATTTTTTACATTAGCGATAAAAAGTCGCCTGAAGATAGACGTATCGTGGGTTTCCGGACGGATATGTCCTGTGGGGCACTATCATTTGATAGAAGATACGTGGCGGCTGTTACTTTTCACGGGGGGTTAGACCCTTTCTCCTCCTGCTCAATGCCACCAGTCCAACTCTCAACGCGGCTTCTTTACAACTAGTTGTCGGGCGTCCCCGTCGAGACTCCCACTTTCACAGCGCATTCACCTCTCCTCACTATCATGATCCAGCCTGTTCCTCAATGTTTGCTTGTACTAGTATCGTATGAGATGGATCAGCTCATAGCAATAACATCTGTCAACTTCCTCGATCACAATTTATCCTCTTGGGTTGAAGTGTAAGAAAACACTGATCACGTCATGCTCGATCCTTCAGTTTCTTCAGGTCCTCACTAACATTTCTAGAATATAAGTATCAGTATTCTGTATCCTTCCTTCAGCTTGGAATCGCGCTTTTGTTGAATTTGTCGCATCGAATTTTCGTGGAACAACCAGTAATTTTCATGTGTAACCCTCACCAAAAATTGTTGTTTCAGATGGTCTGGTGCCGGTTACTGGGTCTGGCCACCCTGGTCACATTTGTGACATCAGCGGCACAAAAGACAGATGATCTGGAATGTATGTTCCTTGGCTATCCAGATCTGGAATATGACGGATTTGATAGAACAGAAGTAAGGGATTTTTAAAATTTCTGACCCTAAGGTTTAGCACCAATAATCTATTGCGCCATTCAGGTGTTGACAGAGAAGAACTTCAACAAGACTGTCTTTGCTGAAGATGCAAAGTCCGTCGTGTTCTTCAACGATGTCGAAGAAGACGATCCAGAATTGGACCAATACGAGTGTTTCATGCAGGTCAGCCTTTCCTCACCTCGGAAAGATTTTTCAAATTAACTCCCCCTCTTTCAGCTTTCCGCACAGATCATGACAAAACGCGGGTACAATTTCTTCACTGTGAATACTACAAAGGAAGTGAAGCTTAGGAAACAAGAGGGTAACTTTCACTGGTGTTAATTCATTCTGTGTTCTGCGTAGGAATCCCCAATGTCAGTCACACCTGTCATGATGTGGACGTGAAATCTGCAGCTGCTCGCTGACACTCAAACCCATCCACCCCCTTATTGATGGGGTTATGTAACTTTGAAAACTTGCACAGAACTGAAATAACACTGCTAACGCTGAAATTGAAACCTTCAGGCAACTTTTCGTTCGTCTCATGAAACAGCTATGAACGGCTGTTCCACAGTGTAAAAGGTTCCTTATAAAAACACACGACCGCCGCAGTGGAAAAGTGTTTTACAGTCAATTATGAAGCAGGCTAACCGCTGCAAAATATTATCGGCGTGAAGGCGTTCTGATTTTAGAAGTTAATAAATAAGTAAATAAACAAATATTTGGAAAATAGTCAATGCAAGATCTTCACGAAAGCAATAACAAAAATCACAAACAAGACTAAGAGTCTCCGCCTTAGCCGGGGCAGAGGTAGGGTTGGGAAGTACTTTCGCAACAGTACTACGTCAGATTTTGTCTTGCCACGTCTTTCGGATGTTCTGGAATTGTTGTACGTCATTTTCTTATTTCCAATTGATTTCCTGCACGAATTTTGTCGGAAACTACTCTAAAACTATACCAAACATAACTTGAAAAGAGCACGAAGATGCGCAGGTGGGACGTGGCATAATCGCACCGCCGCGTAAACGTCACCCTCAAATATGGGTCCTCAAGCGACTGCCGCACACGTGACATCAGTTGTAGCTAGAGTACAGCACCGGGAGGAGATACAGCGTGAAACGGGAAAAATAAGGAACGGGACAATACATATCTTCTATGGCGCGGACAAAAAAATTGCCAAATGTGACTCATTTCCCCTTCCGACCAAGTACGACCCAGATAGGGTCCTCCCAACAATATCCTACACTGATTGCTGCACCTCTGATGTGCAGAATCGTTTCCTCACGGTCAGAAAAATGCAGCAGAGCTCCGTTATTCTTGGAAATCAATTGCTTAGCTTTATTATTCCCCAAGCAGGGTCATTCATTCATATAGCATATTCTCGTGTTCTGATGGTTCAGTGAACTCTATCAAATTCCGTGTAAAATGTAAGGTCACATTACTTATGTCAACTGTTAAGAGGTAGATAAAGGCGAGGACACGATTCATGTTTACAAGGACGGCTTCAAGATCGAGTATCACGGTGTCCGCGATCCAGAAACGTTCGTTGGATGGATGATGGATGTGAGTTGCAAGTAGCTACGTTATAATAAATGCCAGCACAATCAGTAGGGCGGTCTTAAATGGGGCGGGATGAGTCCTCCTCCGGCTGGTAAGAATACCCGTAATGATCGGTTAGTGATCGAGTGAGGAACAAAACGACCGGTGGTGAAAAGGCCGGTGATAAGATGTAAGTGAACCCTAGACATTTCTTACCAATGCTTTTCCTGCAGGTCTTATCTGCGAAGATCCTTCAAGTCCTTGCTGCCGAGAAGGCTGAGTTCAGTCATCCCCAGCTGGTTCTCAGGCAGAAGCAGCGAAATGGAAAAGACCGCAGCGGAATGAAATAGACGAATGCAAGTGAAGGGGATGGAATCGCTATGCTATCGATGCTGTTCATACCCTTGAGTTGTTTACTCTGGAATGGGTAGCATTCGGGGCACATCCTTCGCGATCCCCAGCATGGGGTCGTATTTGGTAATTATTCAAGCAAGGGAATTTGCTACTCATAGTTCACTTCTTAAGATTCACGCGCTAGCAGTTATTACCGCTGAAGTCAGTCGAGGCGTGGTAGTGGCACATGGGTTTTGGCACGGCGCCAGCCCCTTCACCACCACTCAATGGACGCCGCGAGCCGCAACTATTGATGGAAAAAGATCACGCTGCGCCGAAAACTACCCGACTCTGAATTCTCTGTTAGGTCCCGATTGACATCAACGGCAACGACTCGATCTCCTCTAGTTGGCGACGCAGCAAAACTAGTACATCTGGATATCGTCCCAATCGATTGGGGCAGTGCCAAGAGGGCTCGGATGAGCCTGCGCAGGGCGTTTTCTGTCACTCGTTGTTTCTTCCTAAATTGATAAATAACCTATCATTAATATCAGAAAAGACAGCTGGGCTGGCTGGCAGCTTAGTCAAGGTATAAAGGTACGGAAAGGAATGGCGATGAGGCTCGGCAGTTAGGTCTTGTTCTTTGCTCCGAGTAGCAGGGAAACACCTCTTTTTTGCTAATTTTTCTATTTTATATGATTTCAGATCCCCGATGATCCGGTCACCATCATCAACGACGAGCACGATTTGGAAGAGTTTGAAGATCTTGAAGATGAAGTTGTAAGAATCATTGGATATTTCGAGCCCGGTTCTGCAGGTGAACAGTATTTTACATGTATCCCCTTCATAATTTTCTTCGAACAAACATTAATTAATTATTCTATTCTGTTATGTCTACTATGGGCTAATAACGACATTTTCGCCTTGCGGCAACGCATGTCCATGCTCCACGCGCGCGGCATTCGCACCAGCAATGTCGTTCAAAAGGCACTACTGTACAACTATTTAAAGGCACAGTTCGCGACCGCAAATTGCGGGAAACGGAACTCAAATAGGCACAAAAAAGTGCTAAGTATCTGATTAGCGGAGAAAAGCAGCAGAAAAAGCAGTCCGAAATGTTATAGAGAAAGATAACATAGTGGCTACTAGCTAGTAGCTAGCAGCCGGTGAGGGTCGGCATGGGCCTAAGGGGTGTCCATGGGCCTAATTAGCCAGCTTCTAGCGGAGTTCTTGCCGTTTTTCACATTTTGAAAGAAGCGCAGCCTCAAAAATCGCCTT